AACCCAGGGAGGGCTCAGAGAACAGAAAGGCTGTCAATTTCACCTTGTCATCACTGGCCCTGGTTCTCAACCCTCGGGACTCGGGCCTGTCCCAGCTGCCCACCCCCCCGCCCCCTTCTCAGTCCTCCACTTCTGCCTGGGGTTTCCTCCACGGACCCAGCCAAACAGCTCTGCTGTTTCCCCTTGCAGGGATCGGAGGGCCCAGTGGCCTGGGCATGGCTCTGCAGGTGAGGTCAGCTTTGAATCTAGGGTTGTGTGCAAGTGAGGAGTCTGGTCTTTTTACTTTTTTGGTGGTATTGGGGATTGAACCTAGGGCCTTGGCACTGAGCTACATCCCCAGCCCTTTCTTTCCTTTTTTCTTTTTTTGGTACCAGGGATCGAACTCAGGACCTTGCGCCTGCAAGGCAGGCGGTGGCACCACTGGGCTAAATTCCTGGCATTCTATTTTTTATTTTGAGGCAAGTTCTTGCTAAGTTGCTAAGTTGCCCAGGCTGGGGTCAAACTTTCCATCTGCTTGCCTCAGGCTCCCACAGTCACAGTGTTGGGATCACAGGCCTGAGCTGCCATGCCTCGATCTTTAAAGTGGTTTCAAGGCTGCCTGACCACCTACCTCCCTGGGTGTACCTGGACTTCTGGAACCTTCCCCAGGGCACTGTGCTGGTCCCAAGGGTGGACACTTGCCCCAGCCTCTGCCTTGCCCCAGAGTGAGCAGGGCCCACACACTCATGGCAGGCAGGGCCTCCCTTGCTGTGCCCTGCAGCTGGGCATTGACCCGTGATCCATGCTCCTAGGTCAGCAGACGATGCCTGGGTGCTGCCACTTCCCAGGCTTGGGACACAAACACTGGGCCTCAAGCAGCTCCCAGAGGACCACACTGTACTGATGGCTGAGGAGACTGTGGGATTCCTGCGGTCCAGCCTCTCCAAGGCTCCAGCCCCCTTCTCTGGGGTGCAGTTTCTGGTGAGTGCTTATGGGGATACTGAGGGGTAGAACCCCAGAGCTAGGGTTCACTCACTTCTGCTCATCTGCTCCCACAGGGTGACTCACGTTAGTGGCCTTAGTGACCCTCCCTCTCCTCCACCTCAGCCACAGCCACCTGAGTCCTCCCCATTGCCCTCCCTACCTCCAAGCCTCTGGAAGAAGGGAGCAGGATGGACCTCGCCCCTCCTGGGTACCCAGCCTCCTGGATTCCTCTCCTCTAGGCCCAGCCCTGCACAGCTGGGGTGAAGGGTCAGATCCTGCTATGCCCGGACCAGGCCCTGTCACATGACCCTTCCCAGAGCAAAAAGAGACAATTTATCAGGGTGTAACCTACTCCACCTGGCCATAAAGCCATAATAAAAGGGAATGTGCATCCAGGGCAGCCAGGTACTCAAAGGGGTGATCCTCCTGCCTCAGCCTTCTGGGAGTAGGTGGGGATCACAGGCTGTACCACTGCACCTGATTTAACTTTTTAAAAAAATTGTAATGAAATTTGTATAATGAGCCAGTGGTGCCTTCGGCTACTGGGAGAACTTTCCTCCAGAGATCTGATATATATTAATGACAAAGGAAAAATCAGAAATCTTATATTGGAGAAAACATCACCATGGAACAAACTGACATCATGTGTCTCCTGACATAATGCTCTGATATGAATGAATACAAGGTCACTTTTACAGTATTCCTCCTGGAAATGCATCACCTGAATCTAATGAAAAGATCAGATAAACCTAAATTTAAGAACATCCTACAAAATAAACAAGTTCTGCTCTTCAAAGATGTTAATGTCCCACTCAGGAGGCTGAGGCAGGAGGATTGCTCCGAGTTTAAACCCAGGCTGGGTTACATAGTGAGTTCAAAGTCAGCCTGAACTACATAGCAAGACCTTGTTTCAAAACACCAAAAAACAGCCGGGGATTTAGCTCAGTGGTTCCGGCGCCTGCCTCAAAACCACAAGGTCCCAAGTTGGATCCCCGGTACCAAAAAAACCCAAAACCACCCAACAAACAAAAACAACAATAACAACAACAACAAAAATGTAATGCTATAAAAAGTAAAGAACTAAGCAACTGTTTTCCAGGTTAAAAGAAACTGTAAACATGACAACTGAATGTAATATGTGATCTTGGATCTTCTTGTCTTCTCATGCTATCATTCTTTGGGAGAACTGCAAAACTATGAATAAAGTAGATAGGTTAGAAAAAAATTTTTTGTATAACATAAAATTTACCATTTTAAGTGTATAATTCAGTGATATTGAGTAAATTTGTTGTGCAGCCATCTCCACCAGCCATCTCCGGAACTTTTGAATCATTTAATGATTTTTTTTTTGAAAATGAAAAAATTCTGCATCTACTTAAAATGTATTACTGGACAGCCATGTGCAGCAGCAGATGCCTGTGACCCCAGCACTCAGGGAGCCTGCAGTAGGAGGATGGAAAGTTTGAATTCTGCTGGGCCTACTTAGTGACAGACTGTCTCAAAATTTAAAAAATAATAACCTGGGCATGGTGGTGGATGCCAGGAATCCCAGCACTCAGGAGGCTGAGGCAGGAGGATCACTGGAAGTTTGACGCCAGCCTGGTCTATATAGTGAGTTCAAAGCCAGCCTGAACTACATAGAGAGGCCCTGTCCCAAAAAACTCAGAAAAAAAAAATCAGAAAATAAAAAAATCAAAAGTTCAGTGGTTAAGTCCCAGTATTGAAAAATAGTATTACTGGCATACATGTGGACCCAACTTTATCTTTTTTGTTTGTTTGTTTTTTGAAAAAGGATCTCGCTATGTGGTTCAGGCTGGCCTTGAACTCACTAGGTATCCCAGGCTGGCCTCAAACTCACAGCTATCCTCTTGCCTCAGCTTCCTGAGTGCTGGGATTACAGGCGTGGGCCCCCAAGCCCAGGCCAACATTATATTTTCATAAAAAGTCATCAAGTTGTTCCAGTATTACTTGTTTAAAAGTCCAAATTCATGATCCTGTATAAAGCCCATTGTAAAGTCAAGAAATTTGATTCAAAGAAGTTAAAAGAAGAGAACCCCTCCTTCCAAAAAGGTTATGACAACGTATGACCTGTGGCCTCTAATTTTCTGAGGCAGGGTCTCGCTAAGTCAGTCAGTTACCCAGGCTGGGCTCAAACTTGCCTCAGCCTCCCAGAGTGCTGCGATGATGAATAGGCGTGCACCACCACACTCGTCCCCTACTTGTGCCTTTGGTTTTCATAGAACTAATAAGAATAAGAAGATGGTGCTTTGATGATAAACCCAACATAAAAAGCCCAGGATAGCATTAGAGAAATGACACACGAGGAGCCAAAGCATCCTTGCCCACTGGGAGAGATCTGGCAGAGAGGCCACTCACAAGGTAATCCTGGCTCTTCCAGGGAGGACCTAGGAGCGGTCCTTGGCAAGGACAAAGGGAAACACCTTTCGTGACCCTAAGGGACCCCTCTGGAAACATCCTGCCTGGGCAGATGGGCTGTTGCTGCCACTGCCCTGTTGATTTGTTTACCTGCAACTGCTTGGTGGAGGAAGGTTGCACAATGCAGGGTGACTAGTGGTCCTCAGTGTGCCCAGCAGGAAGGGCCGCCCTGCTGGCTGTTTGGGGAACAGCACTGGGAGCCAGGGAAGGAGGCCACTGGACACTCCCCACATGCAGACCCACCTGGAGACCCACAGGCTGCACTTGCTTCCTACATCCCTAGGTTGTGCCTCACCCTCCAGTGCCCCAGGGAAAATGGATTCCCTAAAGGAGAGAGAGAGAGAGAGTGTGCGTGTGTGTGCGCCCCGTCACTCCCACAAGGGTGCACCCTCCTCCTTATTAGCAGTCAGACTAACATGGCTTCATTAGGCAGCTCCTCCTGAGAGGGACTCAGAAATGTGATCAGCTCTCTCGACTCCAGGACTCAGGAGGTCACCCTCAGCCCTGTCCCTCACCTGCAGCAGGAAGAGGTGGCTCCCCAAGGGCTGGCCTCAACTGGGGCCCTCTCTCAGGACTTGCACCCATCTCAGGCCTGCCTTCACTGGGACCTTCCTTCCCTGGGGACCTGCTCCCCTGACCTTGGACAGAGGCTGTTGGTAGACAGCCATCTGTTTTCAAATCTTCACACTGTCTTTCAGAGGAGAATAGTTCTCCTTCACCCTGGCTTGGTCAAAGGTGGGAAATCAGTGGGGGTGATCAGGTCCCCCCTTCTCCTCTGAGTGCTCACAGAGTGGGTGGTGTGACCTGCCGGGTCCCCAGAACCCAGCCCACTTACTCTTTGACCTGTGACCTGCAGAAATGTCAGCAAGCTTGGTTCCACGCCATTCGCGCGTGGGACACCCCAAAACGATGGTGGCTGACTGGGGTATCGGAGACACGGGTTGACCTGGTGCCCAAACTGCGCGTGCGGCCTGTAAAAGCCCCGGGAGCTCTCACGCCCCGCTATCATTCCCCCAGCCTGGGACGCACGCAAGGCCCAGGCGCGCCTTGAGTAGGACAGGGCCACCGCGCGGACTCTGCAGGCCCCTGCACGTGCCTGGCAAAAGTGGGCAACCTGTCCAGAAAGGAGTGGAGGGACGGAGGGCAGTGAGGGGCGGAGCGAGGGGCGTGGGATGCGCGGTGGGGCGGGGCCAGCGCGGCAGGGCGGAGCGCAGTTCAGGGGGCGTCAGAGAGGCGCTCGAGGGGGCGGGGGCAAGTGCTGTGGGCGGGGCTAGTGCGGTGAGCGGGGCGGAGCCTGCGCGCGCCGTCGCGCGATCCCGGAAGCGGTGTTAGTCTGGGAGCCGGCGGCAGGCGGTGGGACTTGTTCTTCGCGAAGTCGGAACGTGAGCGCGGGCAGAGGCGGCGTCCAGTGGGAGCGCCAGAGGAGGAGCGCGAGGGGAGCGCGTGCCCGCGAGGAACCGCGGCGCCCGGGTTCGCGACGCCAGGTGAGGGAGAGAGGGCGGCGGCCAGGCGGCGCGGACTGGCAGGGAAGTGCCAGGCGGGGGCCCGGCCGCTGAGTCACGGTCCGGGCACCTGGGGCCCCCAGGCGGCTCCGAGGTAGGACGGGCGGGTGCGCACTTGCCCCGACGGCTGCCTGCCCCGCGGGGACGCGGCTCGGCCCAGCGCACGTGCCGCGGGGCTTCGCGCAACGGGGACGCCCGGGCCGATCGTCAGGACCCGTATACCATCCCCTACCCCTCAGAAGCCGTGGCGCACCTGAGCGTGGGATGAGCACGTGCGGAGCGCGGCGTCAGACCCCCTGGCTGCCTCCGCCTCCCGGGAGGCCCTACCCAGGCGTCCTCCGAGGGAACAGCGGTGACCCGGTCCTCCCACGGTGGTCCGCGCCACTCTAGTCAGCTGACCTGCCGGGGGTGCCGGAAGGAACGCGGAGATGTAGCTGTCGGTGGGGAGGGCGGCAGGTGACAGTCTTGGCGAGAGTGTCACTTTCCTCAGGTGTGGTCAGGAGCCAAGGCCTCTTCCAACTCTAAGGGTCAGTTTTCCTGGGCCACTGTCGCCTTAGCCAACAAGTATGTTAGACTGTGTGCCTCTGCATACTTGAAGCCAGGGAGGCGGGAAGAAATCAGAAGCAAATCTAGAAAGCCCCATATCTCAGGAAGCCTGGTGGTCTCTGAAGCCTGTCTGTCTGCCGTAGGAAGAGCCAGTCTGGTCATGATTCCTGGCAGCCTCACTCTCACACCTTGCTCTGTGGAGTCACTTCCCTGCACAGAACTTGGGTGTTTGTGGAGCAGTCCGGGTTTGGGAAGGCCAGCAGCCCCCTGCACTCCCCAATCTCCTGAGAGTAAGTGTGCCTTCACTTTCTTTACACAAGGGTCCTGTACCCAAAGCAGAGTGGATGCTTCTAACAGTTCATACACCTGTTGATCAGCAGGCACCCACCCTTCTCCTGCTGAGTGCCAGGCCTCAGGAAGCACCCAGACCCAAAGCTTGCACAGTGGCAGCATGATAGAAATCTGTGTCCCTCTCTTCCCTTTGATTGGCCGGAATGGCCCTTAGGACTCCTCAGTGGGCACTGGTGAGACCTTACTGTGCCTTTGCCATCACAGTTGTTAGAGTGGGCAAGTGCTGTGATGCCCCTGGATGTTTGCAGGCCACGGAGGTTTTAAGAAGGTGTTGGGATCAGGACTGGTGGAGGTGGGCTGTACAGGCCTCAGGAGTCACCTACACCTGTTGCGCTGTGGGGAGGCAACTCTGTTTATGAGACTTTCCCTCCATAGGTAGCCCAGTAGGAAAGTGTGAATTTGACCTTGGTGTAGAGAGGCTGCTGTTATAACTTACACTAGACCTTGTTATTCTAAATAAAACATGTATTAAAGCAAACCAGGTTTCTCTGGAGCACATTTCCCTTTTGTACTTGAACCAAGCCAGAGTTGGAGGAACTCGTTCCAAGTTCAGTGTTGCGTACTTTCCAGGTGGTTGCTAAAAATGAGAGCTGGGCAGAGGGTACCTGCAAAACCAGCTTTTAAGAAGGTCAGGGCCTTCTGTGTTGTACCCGTTCTCCACACCCTCATGGCCCCTGCCATGGAGTAAGACTTTTCTGGACTGTTCTTTGTCCACAACGTGTGGCTTTCACTTGGGGCTGTGTGCCGGCTGGAGGGTTTGTTTACACTCCCAGGCAAAGCTGCTTGCTGTCTAGACCTAGAAGTTGTGCCTATTTCTGCTCTGGGTGTTTCTGAGTCTAAAGGTTTCTGAAGTGGACTTTCTGGATTTCGGGTCCAGTCCACATGGGAAATGGAAATCCGGCCAGCTGGGAGAATTCTCTGTTCGGCTGCTCCTGAGAGCTGTAAACAGTGACTCACGCTCCCCTCCCCAGCCTCCCGTTCTCTGCTAATGGAAGATGTGTTCCTCCGGTATTTACTTTTGCTTTTTATAAGTCACAGACCCGTCATGTTTCCTCTTTCTTACAGTTTCAGGAAACTGAAAGTGTTATCTGACAACCGTAGAATTTCAGAACAGGTAGACAGGAGCCTGAGTGATCGCGTAGTTTGTTCGCCTGGCCCAGGTTGGGTCAGGAGCTGGGGCCTGCCTGCCCTCCCGTGAAGCCCAGACCTTTCTCAGTGTCTTGGCGTCCTGTGGTGAATGGGGCAGGTAGCATGTTCCTTGCTTGCCTGGAGTTCATCTGTGCAGTAAGGAGGCCAACTTGTCAACAGAAAATTCTAGAACCAGTTGGTCCAGGGCAATAGTTTACTTCAAAGAGGGCCACTAGAAGGGCTTTCTGGAAGAAGCCTGGGTTGTAGGAGGACGGGGACCGTGTGCCCAGTGCAGCAGGGTCCGCTGGAGGAGGACGGAAATGTTGACAGGCCTGGGGGTGGGGGAGCTCAGGAGGGACCTGAGACTGCCTCTGCCTGCCAGGGGGAGCTGCACGTGAGGCACCAAGATCTAAGTCGGGGTCCTGTTTAACCAAAGCTGTGTCCTGGACAGAAGCTAGGGCCTGAGTGGGGGCCGGACTTCAGGCTGGGCAGAACTGGGGGCCCAGGGTCATCAAGCCTTAGCCATGGCACAGAGGAGGAAGAGAGGTGCATGGCTGGGGGCACTTGCACCTGAGTGACCCCGTGGGAGGTGGCTGTCACCACCCAAGGTGGAGATACAGTGGAAGAAGTGGCAAGAATACAGGCAGGTCTGCCTTGGGTTTCCCCAGGGGACATGTCTAGCTACACATACAGGGTAGGAGCTGGCTAGAGCCCCAGGACATGGGAACAGAACAGAATCCTGAAGCAGAGCTGGCAGCCTGGGACCACTCAGTGAGCCGGGGACAGGGGGCCTGGGGTAGGGCCGTGAGGGTGGAGGCTGCTGGAGGAGGGGTGCCATGCAGCCTGCTCTTGGCATGGCAGCTGCTGCCTGAGTCACCTCTGAATGTAGCTGGGATGACACAGCTTCCTCGGACTGCAAATGCAAGGTGACCAGACATCCTGCAAGTTGGACAGACAGTCGTGGCTTGCCGGAGGGCGTCTGGCCAGGGCTAGGCTGCAGTCTGGTGTGGGCCAGGCACGGGGTGCAAGCCGGCGCTGCACACCAGGGAGGCTGTGTCCTGGGTGGGAGGCAGGGTGAGCCTTCCCTGTCCTCAGTGGGCTGAGTGTGGGGCCCGCTGGGGCTCCAGTTAGTCAGCACCAGTTTACATGGCAGGTACGCACTGGGTACCAGCACAGTGTCACCTGTCCTATGGCCCTGGAAGGGCACTCTGCTTTGAGCGCTTCTATCCAGGCTCCCAGCTCCTGAGTGAAAGGAACCACACTGGAAGCTGAAAAGTAAAAATTGATCCTCAGGGTGGGAGGCAACTGTCTGAAGATCACCTGCTTTCTGGACTGTTGAGCTGGGCTACCTGTCCTGCCCTCAAGGATGCTTGGTCTCAGGATTCAAGTCCTCTGCAAGGTGCTGCCCTGCTTTTTGTGGGACACAGGCCTTCTGCCTTGGTCTGTCTTGGAATAGAGGGGCTCACTATCTCTACTCCCTAGTTATGTGGAGTTGGCACCTCCTGAGCTGCCAGCTGGGCTGCTTCTTTAAGAGATGTTGCGATGGACCTGCCCACCTGTTAGATAAACCTCACAATGATGTTTCTGGCTTAGGGTTGAAAACTCAACCTCTTCAGTTAGAGCAGCAGTTACCTGAAAGGTGCTGAACGTAGAAGGAGCTGTCTGGGGACCCAGGGGATCAGCGGTAAGTGGTGATACCGTTAGATCAGGGAGTGGTACATGCGGCAAAAACTCTGAGCTCCAGGATCCCAGACACCTCTAGCAACTCTTCCAAAATTCCAAGAAGCTCAGGGGTGTCAGGTCTGCATGGTCTTGGCTGGTGGATGTTAGAAGGTTCACAGTGCTCTCACCAGAAGTTGCTGAAGAGATTTTTTGTTGTGCTGGCCAGTTGCTGAGGCTGCATGCCCACCTCTGGCCAGGGTAGGAGGAAAGCCGACCTCCATGAGGCTTCCTGTGGCTGAGGGCTTTGAATGCCCTGTTACCTGGCCAGACCTCCTGCCTCAGCTGTCCCCAACCCAAGGCTCGGAGAGGAGTCTCTCTGGGTTTTCCTGTGGCCTTGAGACTGCACAGCGTTAATGTCTTACAGAGTCCCCTCAGAGCTATTTATTTCTTTATTTGGTTTTCTGAGATGCTTTTACTATGTAGCCCACAGTGACCTCAGACTCAGAGCAGTCCTCCCTCAGTCTCCTGAGTGCTGGATTACAGGCGTGTGCCACCACACCTGGCTTCAGAGTGTTTTGAAATCTCTTGTTTTACTGTTTTTCCCCACCTACAAAACTTTCCTCGGGACCTGGGTGCCTCAGTGGTAGAGCACTTGCCTAGCATGCATGAGGCCCTAGGTTTGATCCACAGCATCGCAAAATGCAAAGCCACAAACCTTCCCCTCTAATCCTCTTTCCCAAGGCCATCAGCCATTTTTCCTGCCTCTGATGTTTTAAAGTGGCTTTCGTTCTGAACTTCATGGATGTACTTTGTGCTTTTGGGCACAGGTAAGTACCAGCCCTGTCCTACCTACTTACCCAGTTCATGAAAAGCATTGTGCCAGGAAGGGCAAGACTAACTTGCACGCCCCCGCAGGCCTCACCTTCCATGAGGGCTGTCTGCTGAGGAGTTGGCTGGGCAGACAGTGGCCAGATTGTCCCACAAAAGGGCCAGGGCTCCCGAGCAGAGCAAGTCCCTTGCCTGAAGAAGCAGGTGTGGGGTGTATGGCACCATCACGGAAGGGCACCCAGGACCCAGCCCTGGGAGCTGGCAGTGAGTGGGTGCGGTGTGGCCCGAGTTGGTAGGGCTTCTTTCCTGACCTCAGCTGGTAGGCTGGAGCTGGGGGTGGGGAGTCTCTGCACCCTTTGCTTCTGCCCCTTGTTTCTCTGGGGAAGCTGGCCCACAAGGCAGATTCATTTCCTCAGCTCCAAGTTCTGCCACATCAGAGTGGGACATCAGGAAGGCAGTGTGTCCACATCCACGAAGTCCTCGAGTGTCACCCTTCAGACAGCCAAAGACCCAGAAAGTGCCCTGTGCTCAGACCCCACTGTGGCCTTTGCCTTGGCCCCGGCAGGAACCCTGTGGGATGCTTTTCTCCCAGTGGTCTTGGGGCCCCAGAAGCCATGTGAGGTGGGTGTGGTTGGCTCAGAGCCAGCAGACAGTGGGGTTCAAGTGAGAGAGGGGCCCATCATGCTGTCCCAGTACCCCTGACCTCATGGAGGTGGTCAGCCGACCCTTGTGGGGTCCCCTGGGGCTGAGACCCTGTCCTGTGTGTATCTGGCCACCTCTGTCCTGCCACTTGCCGTGGAGGCATCTCCTTAGTGGAAAGGTCCCTGCACTGAGCTCTGGGCTGGGCTTAGCAGTCCCCTGTCTCCCAAAGGCCCAGCCAGTGGCCCCTTCCTGCCACCTTCCTTTTCCTGCGCGCCAGCCCCGGGCCCCCCAGGGAGCCTGTGAGGGGCGGGAGGGGCGTCCTGTGTGGGAATGTGAGCAGGCTCTGTAAACAGCCAGTGACTCACCACATAGCTATGTCACTGACGCTGGCCTGGCCCTCCTCCCTGGGCACGGGAAAGTTTCTCAGGGCGCTCCCAGGGCCTTCGAGCCTGTAGTCCCTCACAGGGTGGTGGGAGCTGTGGCTTCCCCAATGTCACTGTACCCCAGCCATGAAGTGGGGTCACTCAGAGCTGCTTTCATCCCATTTGGGCCCAGGTGTAACCTGTCAGGATGCACGCTTTGTCCCTCCTGTTTGCAGAGCGAGGACATCAGCAGCTTCCTCGGGCTGGCCTCTGGCCGGTGTCACCAGGGCGCTGGGTGCCCAAAGCCAGTAGTAAAGGGTGGGGGGTGAGGGGCAGGGGCCAGAGTGGAGGGGTCAGGCTCAATCCCTGGCTGCCCAACTCCTGTCTTCTCTGTACCCTTTTTGGGTACTTCTCTAGCCCTGCTTCTGCCCAGCTCACGAGGTCTGGGTTTGGAATGTGGGGAGGGGGTGAGCCAAGCCCATGGCTTCCACCCACAGCCCTGGCCTTGTTGTCGGGAATGAGTTTGTTTACTGTCTGACAACTTCGTGATGTCTCTGCACAGGCCTGACCTGAAGTCATGAGTCTATGGGTGGGTTTTTTTTTTTTGGCTTCTCCATTTCCATGACAACCATCAGGGGTTGGCTACCTCCCAAGGTCGCCATGGCAACTATCAGAGGGGAATCATGCCTGGGATGCTTTGGCTGGGTTTTTCATGAATGATTAGAATGTGTGACACAATGCAGACTGGAGAATGAGAAGGGCGGGCAAGGGGGCTGGCGGGCAGCAGGATGATTCCCCGCCAGACAGCCGAGGAGCCCCAGAGGTAGCTTCAGCTCCTGTTGTCCCTGATTGCAGCCTCTGAACCTGCTGCCCACTAGGAGCTCCTGCCCATCCTTGGGGCCACAGGGTTGAGGTGGTAATGTCACAGCTGCAGTGCCCTTCGCCTTGGTAGGTGTCCTGGGTGCCTGTGGGGAGGGTGGGCCTGGGAAGGAGTGGCAGGTGCCTGCCCTTTTTGTCTTTGGGAGTGAGACTTGGCAGTGGCAGAGGCCCCCTGAAAGGACCCTCGCTGTCCCCAGGGAGCCAGGCTGGATCTGGAGTGCTTGCCAGGCAGGGATGGGGGCAGCCAGCCACACGTCTTTGGGGCTAGGTGCAGCTGTTCTTGGAGATGGCTTTGTGGCTGGTCTCTAGCCTTTAAGATGCAGCACTTTGTCCTCATGGTGCAAATGTCTTGTCTGAGTTCAGCAGGGGAGTCGGACTAGAGGCGACACCTGCCAATGCCTAGTGGTCACACTATAGTGCTGGTGGCTCCCAACACATGCTGGGAGAGGGTGGTTATCAAAGGGCATCATGTGCTGCCAGGCCTGGGGACAAGCGGGCTCCTAGCTTCTCTGTGGGCTGATGCCGTTGGCTGGGTCTTACCTGAGCTCTGGAGAGCTCCTGAGGGTATCTCTAGGGTACTGGCCTATCTGGCTGTGGGAAGGCAGAAATGGGTTTCCCAAGCACCTCATTCCCTATCCCCAGCTTTCTGTGCTCCTTCTTTTGTGTCTCTCCAGGTACGATTTCCAAGTGGCTCTGCCCTGGTGACTGTGCCCGGGTTATGACGACGAATCCCAAACCGAATAAGGCATTAAAGGTAAGTCAGGCCGGTCTGCAAGTGGGATCCTGTCCCCATACAGCCCCCAGAAGGCCCTCCTTCCCAGCACTGTTTCTGGGGCATTCAGAAAGGTCTGACCTTAGGAGTGGGTGAGGACATCACTAGGAGGAAGAAGTCCTTGGCTAGGGAGGTCGGTGACAAACCTTTGGTATGCAGGGAGGGGCAGTAGGGGACTGTGTCCATCGGCCCTGCTTCTGCTTGACTTCATCCTCTAACACCAGGTGTGGCTGAGTGGCCTTGGTGAGTGGCCTCTGTGGCCAGCTCCTGCTGACCCCAGGGTCCACTCAGCTTCCTTGACCTTGGGCCAGCTTTCTTATCTCAGAGCCCCTGGGAGCTATGTGCAGACCTGGGGCTCTGTGCTCCGTGCGTGCGTGTGTGTGTGTGTGTGTGTGTGTGTGTGTGTGTGGTCTTTCGCCCTGAGGTAACCCTGCCTGGCCAGACCCCAGTTTTGCCCTGATGAGTGGGTGGTGGGGAGGGCTGGTTAAGCTCCTGCCTGTGTCCATCCCCAGTGCTAGAGAATACTGTGGGCAGAACACCCTGCTGTGTCCTCATGGAGCTTGGGGGCTCTCAGTGATGGGCTGGGGGGGTCACATCAACACTGGCTCTCCCAGGAGAACAGCTATCTGTGTTCAAGGAAGGTCACAGTGACAGCAGGGGAGCCAATGGGCTGCCTGGTGTGGCCTTGTGGTGCCACACTGCTCCCTGTGCAGGAAGTGAGACACCACTGGGCCTCTGGCCTCCATGGGGCAAATGCTGACAGATCCTAAGTCCTCTTGGTACTGACCCTTTCTGCGGCACTGCAGGTCAAGAAGGAGACGGGTGAGAACGCCCCGGTGCTCAGCGACGATGAGCTGGTGTCCATGTCAGTGCGGGAGCTGAACCAGCACCTGAGGGGCCTCACCAAGGAGGAGGTGACGCGCCTGAAGCAGCGGCGGCGCACGCTCAAGAACCGTGGCTACGCGGCCAGCTGCCGCATCAAGCGGGTGACGCAGAAGGAGGAGCTGGAGCGGCAGCGAGTGGAGCTGCAACAGGAGGTGGAGAAACTGGCCCGAGAGAACACCAGCATGCGACTGGAGCTTGATGCCCTGCGTGCCAAGTACGAGGCTCTGCAGACCTTTGCCCGCACTGTGGCCCGAGGGCCCATCACACCCACCAAGGTGGCCACCACCAGCGTCATCACCATCGTCAAGTCTACCGAGATCTCCTCCACTTCCGTGCCATTCTCGGCTGCGTCCTAGTGCCTGCCCCTGGATCTCCGGCACAAGCGGAGCATCTGTGCGCTGTGGACCCCCTGGGGCCAAGGGCAGGGACAGCAGGACTGGTGGCTGGCCCAGGACGGAGAGTAGGCTCTTGGGAGCCGCTGCCACCTGCCACCCATGTGCACACCCGCATTCACGCTCACGCTCACGCCACCCCTTCTCCCTAGATGGGTCTATTTGCAGGACTTGGTGGGGTCCCTAGGTGCTGCATCCCTGCAGGATGTCAAGCCCTGGTGGCTGGGTGAGCACCCTGTTGGCCCCGTCCTGCCAACCAGCCCCACTGAGCTCTGGCCGCCCCGAGGGGCCTGTTGGCAGCTCCAGTCTTACAGTTGTCCCCATGGAAATGTGTTGTGACCTGCGTTAGCTCTTAGGTCCACGCCTGGACCTTGCAAGGCAAACTTGGGAAGTGCTGCCCAAGAATGCGAGAGAGAGAGAGAGAGAGAGAGAGAGAGAGAGAGAGAGAGAGAAAGAAGGATGAATGAATATGTGTGTGTGTGTTCATCTGCCTAACATCACAGCACCCATGGCCATAGCACTAGCCTTGGAGGAGCAGCTCGGTCGGGCAGGAGGAAAGGGCATGTCAGAGAGTAGTGTGAATGTTATGGATGTCCCTGTGTTTTGTGACTCGAGGGGGTCACTAAGGGAGGTACAGGATCTGGTCCACAAGTGGAGACGGGGGCAAGAGTCTCCCACCAGTCAGTGGGGAGCAGGCTTGGTCTCCTTGGAGCCACTGCTCACCAGCTGTGCTCAGTGTGTGGGAGAAGGAGGGTCTTTGAGGGGCCTGCAGGAAGGGCTGCCGCAGTTGTGGGAGGAAGTTGGTAGACATGGAGGTGACAGTAGAGGACGTTCTGGGCCAGGGATTTAGCTCAGTGGCGCCCTGCCTGCCTCACAAGCGCAAGGTCCTGAGTTCAATCCCTGGTACTGGAAAAAAAAAAAATAGAGGATGTTCTACGGCTTCAGGGATATTGGTGGATACAGAGGTGGCAGTGGAGGCGATTCTGTGACAGACCAGGGGCCACCATAGTTTTCATTGTGGGGGAGACAGAGCAGTCAAGTAGGGAGGTTGGAGCAGGAGCCAGGGAGGGGACCCAGGTCCTGGGAAGTGGAGGAGCCCCAGGCTGTGCTGCACAGGCATCAGAGGGCACTGGCTGGGACAGCCTTGTTGCGTCCAGGCCAATTAGGCCATGGGTAAGGAGTATGGTGCTTAACTGTCATTGGAACCTCCTGATCTTGCTCTGTAGGGCTTTGCACTGCTGATGCTCTTGGAATCCTTCTGGCTCCCTTCCCCTCACCATTGCCACAGGGCCCCTCTGGGACAGGCCCTTAGCAGGGCCACCATCGTGAGCTGGTGGGATGCCAGCCCTGTGTCTTGCCACCAGAAGTCTTCACATGTGATAAGCAGGGGTAGTGCAGGGGATGCTGGTTCCCTCATGGCTTGCCCACCACCTATACAGTGAGACCCCCAGCAAGCCACCAAGTTCACTTGCAGGGTGTTGACCACATTGGGAGGAGGGCAGTGGACAGCCCCAGAGGACAGACAGCCCCAAGGGCTGTGGCCTGGTTGTGTGTCTACCGTTAGGAGTAGATGGGAGTGTCTAGGAGTCTGGCGGCACTGAGGTGCAGCTGGTCATCCTCCCAGCCCTGAGGTGCTGAGGGCCGGCTGGGCTGCAGACCAAGGCCCATGGGCTCCACAAAGAGCAAAGGCCTCACTGGGCACTTAACAAAAGCTGTCCATACCATAGCTGTGGTAGGTAATCCATATTGGATATCAGTAAGGACCATGGGGAAATATTTAAAGAGAGAGAGAAAAAAAAAATATATATATATATAAAATATACACATTTTATCTTACAGATTTTTCATAACAATTTTTCTTTCCCAGTTTGATACTGTAGATTTTGTTAGAGCAGAGCTGCGGGGGATGGTGGGTGGGGTGGGGCGAATCATCCTCCTTCCTGGCTTCTGCAAGTTGGCTGCTCGCCGTGGACAGAGGCCCAGGATGCCCAAGGCCTCTCCTTGGTCTTCCTGCCTGCAGATGGTGCCGGGCACAGCGGGCTCTAGAGAAGGCCTGGCCCTGCCAGTGCTGTGCAAGGCCTCCCAAGGCAGGCCATAGCAATTGGAAGTTCTGTCCAGTCCTGGGATACGTGTTCCCATCTCACAGGACACAGAGGCGGGTGACCGCTGGCCATGGGTTGCTGCCCATTGCTGGCCTGTGGTGCTGAGCCTGGGGCGTGGGAAGTGCCCTGCCCTTGGCTCCAGGGTGGACGGAACCACCATTGCTGCCCAGAGCCTCGGTCCAGGGCCTGGGAAGGAAGCAGCACCTTCTGCTTTGCTTTTCAGACCCTTGAAATTTTATTGTCACAATTTAATATATGGAGTTGTTTTTTTTTTAATTTTAAGAAGAAAGACAAGCACCTCTTTGTTATATGGGCTTGTTTTCTGTCTGGCACCTCGGACTTCCCAAAGAAGGCAGGGCCCTGCCTGCTGGGGCAGCTAGAACACACGTTCACTGCACGCCCCTGTCTGTCCTGGCTGCCTGATACTTGCAGTTCATTTCAATATTTATTTTTGTGCTACTTTTTCCCAATATAAATTATTGAGAAGAGATCATATGCTGTGGACCTTCATCTGTGCCCACCCTGCCCCGACTCACGGCCACCACCTAATTTATTGCTGTAAATGTCGCCGCTGTGACTGCTTTTGTACCTTTGCAATAAAGAATCTCCTGGTTTCAGGTCCTTCTTATACAGACCTGACTCTTGGGGCCAGGGAACTGGCATGCCGACTGTGGTGTGTGCTGGGCAGGTCTACGCCCCTCCCAGCCTTGCTGCCCACCCTCACTGTAACCCCTCCTGGGGAGTCAGGTTGGGATTGGAGGCTGGGGCAGCATGGCCGGCACAGTCCACTGTCCACCTCTGCTCTGGCTCAGCTAGACTGCCGGCAGATTTCTGGGCCTTTCTAACCTGCCAGAGGCCCCTCACAGTGGGTGCAGCCTGTTACAGCCAGGAGCCACAGAGTCCCCTTTCTGGCAGAGTGGGCTTAAAGATGAGCTGACGAGGCCTGAGAGAGGGATGCAGTCGAGCAGAGAGCAGAGGCCCCCCATGGTGGCCTAAGAACCACTCTGGAAAGCGGAGGGCCTGACCTGGTCTGGGGCAGGCAGGCTGGCTTGGCCTTCCAAGGTGAGCAGGCCCCACCCCACCAGCCAGCCCCACAGGGCCAGAGAGGGCAGTGTTTGGGGGATTGGGCTTGCTGTGGGATCTCCCCCTTGTGGGTCCTACTTTCACCAGGAACTGAACAGGGCGGGATACACAAGATGGCCCTGGCGTGGTAGGGCTGCAGTGAATCCCACCAGGCCAGCTCTCCCTGTGGCTGACCCCAGGGGCCAGTGGCTCCAGCCCTTGGTGGCAAGCTGGTGGGGGTGGGTGGGGGGTGGTACTCAGATTCCCAAGCTGGGCTCTTGGAGGCTATGGGCAGATAGGGAAGTTGTGGAGGGGCTCTCGGGTCATCTGCCCTCGGGTTCCCCACCTGGCCCACAACAGATGCTGCCTGCTGAGCAGCGCCCCCTGTACCCCCTGGGTAGGCTGTCCTCAGCCCCACTTTTTCCATCAGTGACAATGAGGCTGAAACTGCTCTCTGTCCTCTTCCCTGTGCGGTGCCCACACTCCCCCCCCGCCAGGGGGCTGGCAGAGCTCAGCCCAGATGCCTCATTCAAGTCCACTCTGACTGTGTTTGTTCTGTTGGCAGGGAGTGAGACCCCACAGCTTCACTGTTGTATTAGCAGGGCCTGTCCACAGGTGTCAGTGGAAGAGCTGGTGGCAGGTGGAGTCATCCCCTGCCAGCTCTGACTCCAGGCAACTTGCTAGACCTCTCTGGAATCACTCACCCACCCCAGCCTCACCAGGATTTAGTGTCTGTCGGCTCCTCACCTCAGTGGGTGCTTAGTAGAAACCCTGGATCCCATCAGGTTTAGTAAAGGGCTTTATCTGGAGTTCACATTGTGTCAGGCACCCAGGAGGGGTCCCGAGGGGAGCTGCCCTCCCGTACAGGGCTGTAGGCACCTCAGGCTACCCCCTTGGCCATGCACAGAGCCAGGAATGGAGCCTACTGCAGGTCTCTGGGGAGCATGCCCTCCCTCCAAGCCTATGGGATGCCTCTTGGGCCTGCCAGATGCAGAGGGCATGATAAGGTGGTGGTGGGGTGGATCTTTCCATCTGGGCACAGGGAGTAACCTTATCTTATCAGCGGCCCAGTCACGCACCAGAAGCTGCTGCCCTTGAGTCCCTGGGCCAGGAGCAAGACTGGGGAGTGGCCCCTACTCTAGCTGACACTGTGCTCAGTTCCACCTGGCTGAGTCCTTGAGTTTGGGGCCCATGTCCCTCTTCCCCTGGTGACCTGCCCCATGGAAGCTGGTAGCTGGGCAGTGGGTGGGAGCTGCCATCCCTGGGAGGTGCCTGCCAGGCCTTCCTCCCTGCTGTGCCTACTTATATCGTCATGCCTGGTTCTCCACCCCCCATCCAAAAGCTCCCAGGCCCTACCTGCCTGTGCTGTGGGACCCAGACTCACCCGTGCCTGGGATGCCCCATGGGGAGACACCACTCATGCCAGGGCCCAGCGGCAAGTCCTCCAATCCCATCCCAGTTGCCTCTGCTCTCTCCATGTGCCCAAGGCCATCTAGCCCTTCCTGCTCCAAGGCAGGGCCTGCCTCAGGCTTTTAGGGCACATGGAGTAAGCGGAGGGAGGGGAGAAGCCAGGCCTGCACCCTCTGTGTGGCTAGGCACTGGAGGCTGTGCTTTGGGACCTCATGCACCTGCAGCAGGGTGGGACCAACATGAAGCTTGGCTGGGAGGGTGGTGACTGCTCTGGCTCCCTTGAATTGGCACATGGCCTGGCTCCTGATCTCAAAGTCCGTGCTCTCTGCCCCACAGTGCTCTGAGCCACACCACCACCATCTTCCCCGGAAGGGAGGACCCCAGAATGGTGGCCCTGGAGAGCAGCACCCTGTGCTTCGTTGCTGGGATGCCGGCCCTGCAGGAACAGAAGGCTAACACACCATTAGAAAGTCCAAGTTGTTTATAAATAAGGCAGCTCCACGGGGAGCAGCAGGTCACCAGCCAGCCTTGCCCACTGCCCCGAGGCTCTGTGTGGTAAGCTGCCTCTGTGGCTGTGCCATGTGCCCAGGGCGACTGCTGCCAGTCCCTACCTGTGGGTCCCAGCCCTCAGCACCAGGGACTCCTCTGCTGTCCCAGGATGGGCTGCCTAGCCCTTCCCCAGTGTCCCTCCCTGTAGCTGCCCAGGCTGACCGTGCATCTCTGCCTATCCTGTCCAAGGAGCAGCCACCTCTCAAGTTCCCTGGGGCCACATTAGCACCGCCCCCACAGTGGCCTCCTGTGGCTGATGGCCAATCAACCCAGTGTGTTCTCTGGCTTGTCTGACGTGCCCAGTGCCTTTCCTGGGTCAGGCAGGCCACTGAGCACCCAAGTTGGGGCTGGACACAGGACGGGAGGGCTTTCTGGAGAGGCCAGGCCTTTGGCAAGAGTGTTGGGGGTTCCCTGTTTATCCCAGAAGCTTGGGCAGCCCAGGTCCCTATAGGTCCTCTGAGGGGATTAGCATGCGCTTCTCCACATTCCAGCTCTTCCGCCCGCCACCAGGGCTGCTGGCCATGCCAGGGTGGGTGCGGGGTGAGGGGTGCCCAGCTTGGCCAGGCACTGGGGCTTCGTGTGTGGCCTGCTGCGTGTACTGCTGGTAGGCAGGGGAGAAGTTGTGGATGGCGTCCTGGACGATGTCCCGGGGGCTGATGGTCTCCTTGAGGCCACTGGAGATGCTCTGCATGGGTGCTGGGGGCCCTGGGGGCAGGCAGCACATGGGCCAGGGCCGGGGAGCCCGTGCCCCAGCCACTCCAAGCACATACTTGGACCCAGGACGCAGCTCTTAGCCCCGCTCCCCGCCCACCTCAGGCCATCCAGGCTGGGCTCTCGCATGTCCAGATCGCGGCCTTGTCTGGCAGAGGGCAACCCCAGGACCTCTGAGCTGGCTTAGCTCCTCCCCTGCAGTTTCCAAGGGAGTGTGGGGGACACTATGGGCTGGCCTAGGGTAGGGCCATCATATCCTTGGCCACAATGCCCTGACCAATGGGAACCAGACCCCTGGGTAGCCACAGGCCACTGTGGTCCAAATGGCCATCAGTAGGGACGCCAGCTCCCAGGCCCTCTCTGAGGGCCCTGGGGTTGTGGTCCCTGTCCAGCCCATCTCCTTCAGGCCCTGTCCCTGTCCAGTCCTGCACATCCCCAGCTTGACATCCTGGTGCCCTAGCTATGAGCCTGGCTTACCTGGGGAGTTCTTCTTCTCTGCATACACCTGGCAGGTGAAGGCGTAGCGTAGGGCCACAGAGGCAAAGAGCATCTCGATGCAGATGAGGAAGTTCTGGTAGCCGGTGGCCAGCGTGCCGGCCCCCACCCTGGTGCCATCAATGGCCTGGACCTCAGGAATGACCCCACATCTCTCCAGGATGGCCAGCAGCAGCCCTGGGGATGGCAGCTGCCACTCAGGCCCTGGCCCCAAATGGGGAGCTGAGCTGAAGCTGGCCCCAGCCAAGGCTCCCACCAAAGCTGGCCTGGGGCAACCTATCCCCGTGGCCTCCTTCTGTGGGAGGAGGGGCTGAGGTTCACAGGGACTGGGCACCTCCAAAGTCAGGGTCCCTGAGTGCCAGGCCTGCCACGTCCAGCCCTGGGTGTGGGGCCCACCTGCAGTTCCTATGGTCTGCAGAGTACCCGGGCCTGTGTGGGAAGCCACAGCGTGGTCTCACTGTACCACCTACATGGTTCCTCCTGTGATGGACCTCACCATGACCCTGTGTCAGGGGCACTGGGGAAATGAGGGTGTAACTGGAACCAGGTTCTGGGAGTGTGGCCTGCCCTCAGCACCGTCCCCTGCCACCCACCCTGCCAGAAGGACAGGAAGATGACGGCCTTGATGGTGAGGAACTTGAGGACTGGCTCGAAAGGCCGAAGGAGGTCCCTGGTGGCGAAGTAGAACAGGAACAGTGCGTAGAGGGCCAGGCTGACGGAGGTGTTGTAGACCAGGGTCACGTACAGGTAGCCGCTGCGGACACTAGGCCGGAGAGCTGCTGTCAGGCCCCCACTGTGCCCTTGGCCTGCCCCATCCTGCCCTGGGCAGTGCTATAACAGCCCCCTGCCACCTCCCTCCAGGGCAGCTGGACCTTTGGGGCCTCCTGAGTGTGTGTAGGGGGCAGGTCCCCCTCTGCTGGCTGGAAGGACCCACTGCTCTGTTGGAAAACCACCTCTACAACCTCATCTACCAGCCACAGCTGAAGGAAGGGGTCCTTGTGTTGTGTGCGTGTGTGCGTGTGTGCGTGTGCGTACGTGTGTGCGTGGCCCCTGAGCAGGCTCCCTCCAAAACGCTTCCCTGCCTACTGGGTGCAGCCCTGGGGTCCTTAGCACAAAGACTGTGCCGGGGGGGCTCTGGGTTCCCTCTGCTTCACCCCCACCCTAGGAGGCAAGGCCCACCCCTGGGCCCTGGGCCTGCCAGGTGCCCGCTCCCACTCTCCCTTACTTGAAGTCCCCATCGTGGTATTTGCCGAACGCCTGAAGGATGATGGTTGTCAAGGCCATGCTGGGCTTTACAATGCAGAACTGCAGGGTGGCCTGGGGGGCAGGGGTGAGGCTGAGCAGCTGACAGTGAGCCAGCTCTGCATACCCAGTGGCGAGCACAGCCTGGCATGGGCC